CTGTGCAGAAGAATTTCTTTTAAAAGGCATATATCAACATTTATAAATACATGTCTGCAATAGTGGTCACAGCAGTGTCTGCCTTCTCCTGTGTGATAGGGATGGGGGAAGGCACAGGAGTTATGGCTGAGACCTTCAGCTCCCACACAAGTGGAGAAGTGCTCGGCCACTAACTCTTACGATTTTAGAGGTGTTCTGTGTACATACCTGAAACTCCCGTGTCCTCCACCAGACCAAAGTTTTGATGAGTCATGAGGAGGAAGAGCTCACTGTTTCCTGAACCAAATTGGGTATAGCCTGCTGTAATAGGCATGTTCATGAGTGAAGTGCATCTAAGGATTGGGGCCCCTAAGGATGATAGTAGCAGAGGGCTCTAGAGCCCACAGAAAAGTTCTCATTGGTGATTTGTTGTTGTTCTTGTTTTGAGTAGATTGAAGCCAGAGAATGCTGCTTGGTTACATGTGGCCCTGTCCATCTGGGTCTCTATCAAAATTGGGGCTACATAAAACATTTATAGAAGGGGGCCTGTGAGTTTAGACCTGTTGATTGAGGCATCCTTTTCTGCTTGTGGAGTCATGAGGGTTGGAGCTGCAGAGGTTCTAGCCATCAGGCAATGCTACAGAGGTATGTGGCAGACAGATGTGAGCAGCCACAGGTACTGAGATGGTGGCAGAACTGTACCCAGGGAGGCTGCTGGGGGCTCCATCAGCAGGTGCCAGCCAAAAAGAGGAGGCGTACCAATCACCAGGCCGTGTCCACAGCATCTGAATTTGCTGACTTTCACCCTGTGGGTGAGGGCAGTCAGATATAGAGTAGCTTAGGTACTTGTCCAAGGTCACCTTGCCACACAGTGACAAGGCTGGCTTTAACATGAGATGTCAGGAAAACCCAAGAAGAAATTAAGGGTCCAGTCCCCTATGACTTCGTTCTTTCCCAGGGGCTGTTCTGTTAAGGTTATTGTTGGGGTGTTTGTTTCATCCTTCTGCTTTTCTGGGCCTGATCTGGAAATCTCAGGGGAAGGGGGGACGACACAGGACACACGCTGTGTTGTGCAAATGTGTGCAAATAGAAAACATGTCCATTGTAGCCCAGGCAGACTCATTGCACGCTCATCAGGGCAGGTGGCAAAATGCAATAATGCAGCCTGGAATGACAGGATTTAACACTCAGCAGCATATGGGAAATTAAAATGCTTTCCCAGCCCAGGTGCAGGGAGGTGGTGCCAGTCTCGTGATAACATTGCAGGGGGGAATGCTTATGTCTCTGAGCTGTTGATTCTAATGCTTGTTTATTTATTTTATTATTTCTCCTTTCACCCGTGGTACATTTGTTTCTCTTTACAGGAAAAAGTAGAATATGCCTTCCTGATTATTTTTACAGTGGAGACATTTCTGAAGATAATAGCGTATGGATTGTTGCTGCACCCTAATGCTTATGTTAGGAATGGATGGAATTTACTGGATTTTGTTATAGTAATAGTAGGGTAAGTCACTCTTGCTTTGGGGAAATGTTTGTGGGCTAGGTGGTAAAGGGTACATATGCCTTTTGGGGGAAGATGGGTGTTCTTATGCCAGTGATGGTACCAGGTCCTGTCAGGAGTTCTTTTAATGCTGACGGGTCTGTTGTCAATCCCTGGGCAGAATCCGGAGTGAAGATCTCTCTTTACTGGTGTTATGGTTGGGGAAGTCAGTAACATGCTGTTGGAGGAAGTCTAAGCTGCTAATGAGAGATGATTCACCTCACAGGGCCTTGAGTCTCCACAAATAGACCTGGCCTGGTAGTGGGTGGAGTTGAGTGAATACAGCTCCTAAAACTTAGCACCCTGCTAGTTAAAAACATGGGTATCATGTGATAAAGCCTTCCAAACAGTGAGGTGCTTAGCTGTTTAATATCCCTTGAGCAAAGCTATTATGCTTTTATGCTGACTTGTGGGAGAAGTTCTGGCATTACCACTTTCCATTTTAAATAACAAAACTAATGTCTGAATACTGTCACATATCTGGCATAAAACAGAATAAACTAGGAAATGCAGAAAAGCAGGTGTTCTTTCCAAACCCTGTTGCAAGAGGAAGACTCTGGTAGATTCAGTTAGAATGAGAAATATAGGTCTGTGTTGTTCTGCACCTTCTGCACCTGCAGATGTTGCCAGCAGAGGAGGCATGAATCAGGTCTCTAAAAAAATGCCTGCCAAGGAAGACAAGATGTAAACCTGCTCTGGGGTTATAGAGTTACTCGTAGAAGTATGCTTGTTTTCATCGAGAGTGCTTTTAAAGATGCATTTATTTTTACAATATGAGTGTTTCACCTGTGTATATGTCTGTGTACTACATGAATGTCTAGTGCCCACAGGAGCTAGGAGAGAGTTTCATATCCCTCAAAGTGAAGTAACAGATAGTTTTGAGCTATAATGTAGGTGCTGGGAATCAAACCCAGGTCCTCTGCAAAAGCTCTTAACTGCTGAGCCATCTCTCTGGTTATGAGAGAGCTTTTAAAATCATCCCTCTGCTTTCATATCAGTGGCTTTATTCAGCTGCCCTTTGCAGTTGAGCAAGCTGAGTTATCTTTTGGATTATCTCTTTGTATCATGATTCCTTTGGTTTTTCTGCCTGTTTGGACAGCAGCTTAAGTTTGGGGATGTCCTTTATATACTAAGAAATGGTAGCCCCTTGGATGGTTAGACTTGAAGGGGAACAAAATTAGTTTTTGCAAAACCTCCCATAGTACATTGACACCTAAGGTTGCACTGCAGAGGTGATGCATCTAAAATGAATAGGTGGCAGGTAGGCATGAAGGCAAATACCTCCTCTTACTTGGCACATCTGTCAGGGAGTGGTAAGCTGAAGCCTGGGAGGTCTCTTGGTTCTGTAAAAATCTTGTATCTTTCCTGCCACTGGACTTTTATTCAGCTAGAGAATGGAGATGCTTAGCTTCATGTCTTATGTCCCCAAGCTATGATCACCATTTCCCACAACAGCACAGCACAGCACAGGAATAGGGAACCAGGTTAAGGAGATAAAACTTCAAGAGATTTGAGAAACATAAAATTGGAAGGGAGAGAACAATAGGGAGAGCTCTTTGCCTGTGTCTTGGGATCCTCTGGAGTTTGGGCTGACACTAAGCTACATTCCATGAGGTTAGGGAAAAGAGAAAGACAGGGGACAGGAACTATAAAATAAGTAACAACCAGGTTTGCCTAAGATTGAAAGGTGTTTGTCATCCAAATACACAGAATAAATTACTGCATTGAACACCCTGAACTGTCAGTAGACACCCTAGAAGAGCCTTTAGTAGTGGAGTTAGCTTACATCTAGAGTAGAGTTTGGTAAACTATGGCCAGGGAACCAAAGCTTAGTCCATCCGGCCTGCCACCTACTTTTATAAATAATGTTTTATTGTATAATAGCTAACTCATTTGTTGACATCATCAAGTTGAAGAGTCCAGGTCTATAAAGACTTAAAATATTTACTGTCCAGTCCTCTACAGAAAAGGTGCTATCCTTGCCCTAGAGTAAAGACTCCTTAAGCTTAGATAACAGTGTTTGAGAAGGAGCCTGAAGGAAAGAGAACTGAAAAGCAAGTAACTTAATTACCTGCAAGACAAAACAAGACTTTTCAAAGGAAAAATAAAATTAATTACTTAGGTGATCATTCTAGTGCCTTACCTACAGGGAGGTAAAATTGGAAATATGAAGAAGTGTGACCACTGGCAGGAGAAGATTCTATGACTAGAAACAGACCCGGAAACTACAGAGATGATGGCAAGGGACTTTATAAGGGTTTGGAAACAGTGGCTATGCTGTATTTATGGACTTAAGGTAAAATATGACTGCAGTGGGGTACAATACAAGAAACAAACACATGGAACTTCAAGTTGTGAAAAGTTCATACGAAATGAAAAGTTCCCAAGATTGGTTCAGTAGCATATTAGGCAATACCAAAGACAAACAACAACAACAAATTAGGAAACTTAAATGTGTAGCAGTAACAAGAATAATTGAGAAAAAGTGAACACTACCTCACTAACTTATGAATTATCAAATATTCTAACATGTGTATTTGGAATCTCAGAAGAGGAGAAAGGCCAAAGAGATGGCTCAACAGTTAAGAGTACTGGCTGCTCTTGCAAAGACCTGGATTTGCTTCTCAGAACACACATGACAGCTCTGTAATCCCAGATCCAGGGAATCAATGCCCTCTTCTGGTGTCTGTGGATACCTGCCTGCATATGGTACACATGATACACATAAAACACATACAGGTACATACATACACATAATAAATACATCAGTAAATCATTTTTAAAAGGGAAGGGGAAGACAGAAAAGAAAGTTTCTGAAGTAATAGTTCTAAATGATTCAAATATGGAAAATAAACTTAGAAGTCGGAGATTTAAAAAAAAAACACACGGTCCAAATGCTAAAAAGTAAAAGGTGAAGAGAATCTGAAAAAAATAAAAAGGACATCTCAAGTATAATCCAGAAGACAATAAATGCACCCTCAGAATTCTAGAGGAGATGTCAACTTAGAGTCCTCATCCAGTGAAGCTCCTTCCAAAACCCAAGTCAAAATAGAAACTTTTTTAGACAAACTAGAGCTGAGACTTCGTGACTGATAGACTTGCACCTCCAAAAATGTTAAGAGACAGCTTTTCAGTCTGTAGAAAAATGACATCAGGTAGAAATGAAGATCCACACAAAGTAAATGAGGAATTCCAGACAGGGTGAATTTAAAGCTACTTACTTCCATTTTAAAATCTCTTTAAAGATAATTGTCTAAAACAAGACAAGGACAACACACTGACAATACCTTGGCAGTAGTAAAACGCCTGATGGTGGCACAGGGGACAGGAAGATCATGGTGGGCTGTTGTCAAGCATGGATACAGTACCTAGAATGATAAGATGCTGTTTGAAGATAGATAGACCGTGAGCTGTTAAAAGTGTGGAGTAAAGCCCCCAGTCACTGAGCCGCCGCTGAGGACTCAGCTGCCTCCCCCTCGAGCCCCCTCGCTTCCAGACGCTCTGTCCCCCCTGCCCGCCTTCTCCCGCAGCCGCCTTCCGCAGGCCGTTTCCACCAAGGAAAAGGAATCGTATCGTATGTCCGCTATCCAGAACCTCCACTCTTTCAACCCCTTTGCTGATGCAAGTAAGGGTGATGACCTGCTTCCTGCTGGCACTGAGGATTATGTCCATATAAGAATTCAGCAGAGAAACGGCAGGCACACCCTTACCACTGTCCAAGGGATCGCTGATGATTACGATAAAAAGAAACTAGTGAAGGCGTTTAAGAAATTTGCCTGCAATGGTACTGTAATTGAGCATCCAGAATATGGAGAAGTAATTCAGCTACAGGGTGACCAGCGCAAGAACATATGCCAGTTCCTGATAGAGATTGGACTGGCTAAGGACGATCAGCTGAAGGTTCATGGGTTTTAAGTGCTTGTGACTCTCTGAAGCTTAAGTGAGGATTTCCTTGCAATGAGTAGAATTTCCCTCCTGTCCCTTGTCACAAGTTTAAAAACCTCACAGTTTGTATAATATAACCATTTGGGGTCCGCTTTTAACTTGGACTAGTGTAACTCCTTCATGCAATAAACTGAAAAGAGCCATGCTGTCTGGTCTTGAAGTCCCTCATTTAAACAGGTCAAGCAGTAAGCCCTGGCAGTGTCCAGCCTGAAACAAAGCAATAACAATGTTTCAGCCAAGCCCAGAACCCCAAGTTCATAGGCTATGCTACCCAAAAGTTCTTCAGCTCTCCCTCAATAGAGTCCCCTGCCCTAGGAGGATGTCACCAGGTGAACATGAGAATGGGTAGCACCACAGCACCAAGGGAGTCTCTGGCAGGGACCCCTGGTGTCTGACTAGGTGGGCAGAATTCAGAAAGGGCCACCTTTCTACAGAGGTCTTGGACATCTGGCTGGCCACCAGGTTAGTCATTTTAGCCAGAAACATCCCTAGCCAGGGGATGTCAAGACAACTAAAGAGTGAAACAAGCCTAGTATCAATTAAGCTTACGACAAGGGGAAAATATCAAATGAAGGATCAGTCATTGTGGCTAGCTGTAAAGGTTTCAACTTGTTGGTAGCAGCTGCCCAGTGCTAAGTGAAGCAAGAAACTGGTTTTTGGTTTTCTTTTCCTTTTCAGTTTTAATGTTATGTAATGTATTTAAACCCTTATTTAAATAAAACTTGTTTTAAGAAATTAAAAAAAAAAAAAAAGTGTGGAGTAAACCCTGGAGCCTACATTGGCAAACTACCCACCCTCCACCCCAGGCCTAGGGACATTTCTGCTTGAAGCCTGTTACTCCACATTAGCTGGGCATTTGGCTACCAACTTCTGTCAAGTAAGGTTTTATTATAATTCAGCTATACTATATGTGTGGCTGTTTGATCTACTTGATGTTTAATGACAAAGTTAATTTGTTACCCCAGATGTCCTACAGTCTGTAAATCCTTGAATATTTACTGAATCTCCTTTCACTGAAAACTTTTGTTGACATTTTCCCTATATGAGCCACCAGAAACACAGAGCTTTAATTATTAATATTAAGGCAACAGTGAAGACTAAGTTCAATTGGAAGAAACACAAGAGCAGAAAAGGCAATTCAGAAAAAAAGTAGAGAAGGAGAAACCAAAAACTAGAAAACAAATAACAAGATGGAAGGCTTAACGCAGCAGCACCCTATAATAACGCCATGAGTTTATCAGATTGCCATATGTAAAAACAACTTTCTAATGTCTATTTTGACCTTCTGTAATGCAAAGAAAAATAATTTGTGAATAAAAGGATAGAAAAGGCAGCTAAAGGGCCTTTATCAACATTTGACAAAGTCTTTAGGAAAAGGGGCTATTTGGCACACAAGAAGAGAGACATTTCTTAATCATAAAAGGTGTTTATCAAGATGATATAATAGTCCTCATTACTCAGATGTCTGGTAACAGCTTCAAAATGCAGGAACCAAAAGTTGTTAGAGCCCAAGGAGGAGCAGAAAGATGTGTGGGTCTGGCTTGTACCCTAGGTCCCTGAACAGGAGTGTGGCGAGACAGGGAGACCTGAACATCATCATTAACCACTATTGTGGTTTAACAAGGACCAGGAGAAACAGATAGGCCGAATAGATGTTTATTCAGGGTGAAATAACTGAAATCATAGACAGATGAACACTAGCAGGTTCCTGGTCCCAAGGATGCCTCTGGATGTTCTCCTGTCCCTGTGCTGCAAGCAAGAGAGCTCCTGGAGCCCTTTCCTCAAACTTAGTTCCCCCAGGTAACAGCCGCTCCTGTCCCCACCCCCAGTGGGCATGGTCTGTGCCACAGGTGCGGGCAAAGTGAACATCTCACTACAAACCACCTCACTTTTCAAAGAATTCTCCATTAAAAAAAAAAAAAAGACTACATATTCTTTTCACATGCATGCATATGGAATTTTTAATCTGATTTCTTTCCTTTTTTATTTAAATTAGAAACAATCGTATTTTATATACCAACCAGCTCTTTCTCCCATTCTCCCATGCCCTCCACCAACCCCCATGCCATCCCTCTGCATGTGACATTTTCATCAAGAGAGTTAATGTTATGGGCCACAAAATAAATCTCAGTGAATTTAAGACAAAAAAAAAAATAGAGAATCAGATTTTCTGATTGAATATAATGATGTTTCTGAATAGTTAAAAAAAAAAGTCACTATAAAAAGTATAGTAACTCCACAAGACCTGGCAATCCCCCTCTTAGACATATACCCAAATGATCCACATCCATGCAACAAAGACATGCACTCAACTATGTTCATAGCAGCACTATTTGTAATAGCAAGAACCTGGAAGCAACCTAGATGCCCCTCAATTGAAGAATGGTTAATGAAGATGTGGCACATCTACACAATGGAATATTACTCTGCAGAAAAAATTAATGGAATCTTGAAATTCGCAGGCAAGTGGATGGCACTTGAAGAAACCATCCTGAATGAGGTAACCCAGTCACAAAAAGAGGAACATGGTATGTACTCACTCATATATGGATTTTAGACATGGAGCAAAGGATCACCAGCCTATAATTCACACCACCAGAGGAACTAGGATACAAGGTGTATTCCAAGAGATGCATATAAAGTCCCTCACAGAAGCAGAAAGGGACAAGTCCCCCAGAGCACAGGGGAAGTGGGGGGGGCAGTGAATGGAGAGAAAAGTAGGAGAAAGAGAAGGGGAGGAGAGGAAAGCACATGCGACTAGGAAGATTGAGTCAGGGTAGGAATAGAAGACAGAAGAGAGAGAAAGAGAGAGAGAGAGAGAGAGAGAGAGAGAGAGAGAGAGAGAGAGAGAGAGAGAGAACATAAAAGAGGGAGCCATTATTGGTTTGAAGAGAAAACTGAACCTAAAGAAAGGTCTAGAGACCTACATGACTGTCACCAACTAACAATTTGAGCAACCGTGGAAAGGCTACCATAAATGCCCTTCCTGGATAGTGAGATCAACAACTAACTCATCCACCATCATGGAGCCCTCATCTAGTACCTGTGGGAAACAGAAGTAAACACCCATAACTAAATACGGAGTCGAACTAGGATCCAGATGCAGAGGGAGAGGACAAGAACAGGTTGCAGAAACATATAGAGACAGGTGACCTGAACAAGGAGGAGCTAATGGGCCCCCAGTCTGATAGCTGGGAATCCAGCATGGGACTGACTCAGGCCCCCCTGAATATGGGTCTCAGCCAGAAGGACTGAGCAGTCTAAGGGACCTCAGACAGTGGAGCCAGGATGTATTCCTGGTGCACAAAAGGACTTTGCGAACACATCCCCCATGGAGAGATAACTGCCTTATTCTAGAGATAGGAGAGAAGTCCTAGTCCCTACTTCAAATGACTTGACAGATCTACATATCCCACCTGGATGGCATTGCCCTACATGTGGAATTGGGGTGGGGGGATGGGAGGGGAGGGTGGTCAGGGTGCATATGAGGAGGGAGAGAGGATAAGAGGGAGGGAGGGAGAGAGGGAGAGGGAACTAGGATCGACATAAAAAAAAAGCATAATAACTTCTAAATACTAGCCATGGGCAATTAGAAAACAAAAACAAAAGCATTAAATGTTACTATTTACAATGGCACTAAAACTATGAAATATTTAGTTATGGGTAGCTTGCTAAAATGGCAAATGCTTCATGGGAGGAAGCAAAGAAGAATTAAAGAAAACAGAGTGTGGTATTATGATTACGCACTGGAAGATTTGATGTTCTTAGGGTTTCTACTTTTCCCCAAAGCAAGGTATATATTTGTATACTGACCTAAATACTAGCAGGCTTTTGAAAAATTGACAAGATTTTTGTACCATCTGTATGGAAATTAGACAGACTCTACACCGGCCAAAGAAATCCTTAAGAACAAAGCTGGAGTCAGATCTTATAGGATGCTCTGACATTATTGGAGTTAAGATAGTGCAATGTTGATGCTAGGCGTTGACATGAAGATCAATAGGATCAAATATGAGTGCCTAGAAATAGACACGTGTGTATGCTATCAATTGATTTTTGGAAAAGATGCCTTGATGAGTCAATGGCAGGAGGAAACTGTTTCCAGTAAACAGGACTGAAACAACCATTTGTCAACATGAGAGACTATTCTCACCTCACACCATGTATAAATGTTGCCTTCACATGGACCATAGACACATATTTACAATTCAAAACTATAAAACTTCAAGGAGAAAATACCATAGAAAACATTTATGATTCCAAGGCAGCAAAGATTTCTAAGTCATGGGTCCTGGTGGTGAACTCTTTAAATCCTTTTACAAGTGGAGGAGGCTCAGGAATTCAACCAAGGTCTTCCTCAGTTATATAGTGAGTTCAAAGCCAGCTAGCCTGGGACACGTGAGATTTTTTTTCTCAAAAGACAAAGGGGCCAAAAGCAGCACCCATTAAAGAAACAATGAAAAGACTCAATTTTAATCAAAATTTAAAACTTTTCTTCCAAAGTCAGTGTGAAGAAAAAAAAAAAAAAAAGCAGTTTGCAGAAGGCAAAAAAAAAAAAAAAAAAAAAAAAAAAGAAAGAAAGAAAGAAAAAGAAAGAAAGAAAGAAAAAGAGAAAAAGAAAAGAAAAAAGTATATTCACAGAGAGTTAAAAAAAATGTATACCAAGTACTTGGTCAGATATATACATTCAGCATATATAAAGGGCCATTCAAGAAGATAGAATGTTACATAATGGGCAAAATATCTGAATGTATCTTTATTAAAAAAAATATGTGACTGGCTAACTAGCCCCTGGACATTGTTAGTAATTAAAGAAATGCTAACCAAAACCACACTAACAGCGCTGTGTGCCTGCAGGCACTACTGGGTGTAAAGAGACCAAAGAGACCAAATGGGCCAATTGAAACTTTCTACACCACTTCTAAAACTGGAAGCAATAAAGCCACTTCAGAAGCCCCCACTTTCTCCCAGTATTATAAAAATTTGCCACATAAAAAAATGTGACCATATTGCTAGTTTTCTGGTGTTTATCCAAGGAAATAAAAACACATGTCCACAGTAAGACTTTATTCAAAGTAGGGGAAAACTGAAAATAGCTTAATATCATAGAATAGGTAAATTGATAAAAAAAATCATCACAACATGTTTACT